TTTTGCACGCAGTTAGAAAATTCATCAATGTTCATCACAAAAAAATCAGATCTTTTGAAAAAAAATTACTATTTTTTTGGATTGTACTGTTCATGCGGGAGCATGTGAGCTCGGGATCAAATACTCCATGTCCGCTGGCCTGCTTCTATGACTTTCATTGTCAAGTCTCAAATTCATTTTGGTCTATGAAACTGAATATCGATATGTTACATATTAGTCCACTTTGAAACTATATTTTTATGACCTTGTTTTTAAATTCGTTTTTTTTGTTATTAATGTGGATTTCTGGTAACGAAGTTCGGGGCTATTTTATATGTTGTATCTATCAGAACATCACATTTTAATTTCAACATTAGACACATAGGCTCAAGCTTGCCAGGCTTTAGAAAAGTTCTGGCTCCGCCACTGAAGGTGGTCAGGTGGCATGTTACTGTTGCTGCCCTTTTCGCAGAAAACGTTACTGTTGCTTCCAATGGCGGCGACCCCAGATTCAGATGGAGAACGACATTTTCCTGCTTGTTGCCTGCAAGGTGCCGCGCGTGAACGATACTTGATGCTAACTTATCTCTACTAGCACCTATAGTATAGCCTGTCAGTAAGCTGTTAAATCACGGTTAGCCAGAACCTAAGTTGGTATAGACGTATAGTAGTAGCAAACATACGTCAATGCATGGACCACCACCAGCCGGCAGGCCCGTCTGGTTGCGCCTGCATGGACGTCTAGACCTGAAATTCACACGCGAGAAACAAAAAAGATGCCATGGCAGCAAAGCCTTTCGCGTACCCTGCTTTATGCCGAGCCGTTGAGCTGTTAGCGTGCCTTCAAGGTCGGAGAAGAAGTGAAGAAGACACTCACTCGTGCATGCGTGCATGCATGCGGGCAGTTTGCTGCCGGAGTGAGTTTCGCATGGATCCGGGCAAGAACAGAAGGGTATCAACGCCGTCGGGAATTTCCAAGATGTACCGCAAACTAAACAGATCGCTTTACATCGTCAGAGAACATTTGGTCTGCAGTGTGCAGGGGCCAGTTAACTGCACGCAGAGCGAGATCACAAGTTCTGAATGCTTCCAGATGGAAAGGGGGTTGCTGGGGCAGCAGAATTTCTGCACCTGGGGCTTGTGCCTGGCTCAGAAGGTTAATTAGTAAAGCGTAGGGCCAACGTACGAGTAGTACACAGGTTGAATTAAAGGATGGCTGCTGACTGAAGCTAGGTACTGAAATGCGGAAGCAGTACCTACGAGGGAATTGAAAGGAGGGCCGTGCTTGAAGTTGAATCAATGAGTAGAGCCAAGCCAGCCCATCAATTGCTACAGAGTGAGCAGTAAGAGTACTTTCACCAGCAAGTTTACAGTAGGAAAACAGTACTAGCGGCGACAAAGACACGCACTACAGCTGAAGGTTGTGCAGCGGTGAGCAGCAGGTACGTGAGGTGCACGAGACTGAGCTTTGAAGGCATGGCAAACAGCAAACGAATTCGGGGAAAAGGCGACGCCGCGTACATGGTCGCATTCAGGATTCTGATTTCTGAGGCGTGCGCGTCCGGCTGGTCGGGGTGGCTCCAAGGTTAGGTGGGTGCCGCGTCGCTGGCGGGCGGGCGCGATCTCGATCTGATGAGCACCCACCGTCGTCAGACTCTATCGGCTTGTCCAGTTCTGTATACCCTCCTCCACGGATCATCATTGGTTTGCTCTTGTGCTGTCCAGCGCGTCCGTAGCAGTTCACCGTTGGTTCAAGTGCGACGTTTTGTGTGCGTGAATCTCTGATGCCGTGTGCGGTGTACGCGCCGTCCTCGTCAGTTCGTCTTTTCGGCGTACGTTCAGGTGTGGCTCTCTCTGCTCAAGGAAAGCTACGGGCCTTGGTTGGTTGCACACTTGCACTGGACGATTTTTCCTTCCGGCTGGACGGTGACTGTCTCAGAGTTCATATCGGTTACGCAGCGTACAGTGTCTCAATCATGGATAACCTACTTCGACAAATGACGCATTCCGAATATCTACTTTTCAGAATCTGAATCTTGTTTCAAATCAACTAATAAGCACGTTTTTTCGAAAGTAAACTGAATATCAGACCTCTTTTTTAGCCCGCCGGCCCAACTGTTGGGCCGGTCGAGGACCAGCCGTCCGATGCGCGAGCCAGGGACGTCCGATCTGTGCAAGACCCCTTTGAAAAAAATCCTCCCGCACCGCACCGCACCCACCCCTCGCCGCACCACACTGCAGCA